TGCATGGCTCGGACGTGGGGGAACGGAGCTGGTGGGCAATGCCGGAGCGCGCAAAAGCAGGGATGCGGGGATCTGTGCGGGCTGCATTTCAAGCAGCAGCACAAAGATGGTTGGCATGGGCGTGTGGACGGGCCCATCCCGGAGGGAAAGTTGCAGGTGTTCAAGGAGAAGAACGCAGGGAAGGCCCCGCGTGCGGCGCCCGCGGCTGAGGCTGGCGCGGTGCCCGGCAGCGATGGCGTCGCCGCGAGGGCGCCGACAGGGGGCGGCGAGGGTGCTGGAGGGGCTAGCGCAACCAATGCGGCTTCGGAGCCATCCTCGGGCGGCGAGCGCGGGGGGCGTGGCGGGCGCGCGACGGCGAGGGAAATCGCCGCCGCTGCCGCGGAGGAGCGCGCGCGGCAGGAGGATCCTGAAGAACGGCGGACGCGCTTGGGCATCGCCGAGCACAACAAGCGGCAGGAGTTGCTCGGCCAGGTCGCTGGAGCCTTCCGATTGCGCCAGGAGGACGTGCCCGTCAGCATCGGCAGGTGGATTGACGAGAAGCTGCGACAGATGTTGCGCCGCCTGCGCCCGGAAAGAGATGACGTGGTGAGCGAGCCAACGATTGCGGCGCTGTCGGAGGAGGCTCTCTGAGTGCTGCGCCTCGACGGCGGCTCTCTGAGTGTGTGCCTGTGTGTCTGTGTGTCTGTGAGTCTGTGTGTCTGTGTGTCTGTGTGTCTGTGTGTCTGTGTCTGCATGTCTGTGTATTTGAGTTTCTGTGTGTCTGTGTGTCTGTGTGTCTGTGTGTCTGTGTGTCTGTGTGTCTGCGTGTCTGCGTGTGTGTGTGTGTGGCTGTGTGTCTGTGTGTCTGTGGTCTGTGTGTCTGTGTGTCTGTGTATCTGTGTCTCTGTTTGTCTGTGTGTCCGTGTCTGTGAGTCTGTATGTCTGTGTGTCTGTGCGTTTGTGTGTCTGTGTGTCCGTGTATCTCTGTGCGTGTGTGTCCGCGTGTCTCTCTGTCTGTGTGTCTGTGTGTCTGTGTGTCCGTGTGTGCGTTTCCTCGTCTGTTTGAGCCCCTGGCGCTCCGCGAGGGCGGAGTGGCTGGAGTGGAGGGAGGGCTGGCCCCGAAATTGGGCGGTGCCTCCCCCCTCTGGAGCGCCAGCGGGAGTGGCGGGGGGCGGGGTGCGTAGAGGGCCGCATGGGGGTCGCGGGGGAGGGAGGGGTGTCTGTGTGGCTGTGTGTCTGTGTGTTTGAGTGTTCTTGTGTCTGTGTCTTTGTGTCTGTGTGCCGGTGTGTCAGTGTGCCTGTGTGTCTGTGCGCCTGTGTGTATGTGTGTCGGTGCGTCTGTGTGTCTGTGTGTCTGCGTGTCTGCGTGTCTGTGTTTCTGTGTGTATATGTGTCTGTGTGTGCGTGTGCTTGTGTGTCTGTGTGTCCGTGTGTCTGTGTGACTGTGTGCTTGTGTGCCTGTGTGTCTTTGTGTCTGTGTGTCTGTGTGTCTGTGTGTCTGTGTTTCTGTGTGTCTGTGTGTCCGTGTTTCTGTGTGTCTGTGTGTCTGTGTGTCTGTGTCTCTGTGTGTCAGCGTGTCTGTGTGTCTGTGTCTGGCATGTGTGTGCGCTGGTGTGCGTTTGCGTGTGTGTGTGTGTGTGCGTGTGCGTGTGTCTGTGGCTGCGTGAGTGTTTGCGTGCGTGTGTGTGTGTGTGTGCGGGTGTTCGCGTGTGGGCGTGAGCATCCTTGTGCGGGAGTGGCCGCCGCTGCCGACGGTTCTGGGGGGCCAGCGCGACCTTGGCGGCGCTGGCCTCGTCGGTGGGCGGTGGAGGCTGGGCGACTTCGAGGATTGCGTGTACGTGTGTCTGTGTTCCTTCTTGTTAATGTGTCTGTGTGTCTGTCTGTGTCTTTTGTGAGTATGTGTGTCTGTGTGTCGTGTGCCTTTGTGTCTCTGTGTCTGTGTAGCTGTGTGTCTGTGTGTCTGTGTGTCTGTGTGTCAGCGTGTCAGTGTGGCAGTGGCAGTGTGTCACTGTGTCAGTGTTTGTCAGTGTGTCTGTGTGTCTGTGTGTCTGTGTGTCTGTGTGTCTGTGTCTCTGTGTGACCGTGTGTCTGTGTGTCTGTGTGTATGTGTGTGTGTGTCCGTGTGTATGCGTGTCTGTGTGTCTGTGTGTCTGTGTGTCTGTGTCTGCGTCTCTGTGTGTCTGTGTGTCTGTGTGTCTGTGCGTCTGTGTGTCTTTGTGTGTTTTTGTGTCTGTGTGTCTGTGTGTGTGTGTACCTGTGTGTCTGTGCGTCTATGTGTCTCTGTGTCTGTGAGTGAGTGTGTCTGTGTGTCAGTGTGTCAGTGTGTCTGTGTGTGTCTCTGTGTCTGTGTGTGTGTCTGTGCGTCTGTGTTTCTGTGTGTCTGTGTGTCTGTGTGTCTCTGTGTCTGTGCGCGTGTGTATGCGTGTGAGTGTGTGGGTGTGTGTCTGCCTGTGTGCGCGCGCGGCGCTGGGGCCCCCGCGCTTTGCCCCAGTGGCGCTCCGCGAGGGCGGAGTGGCTGGAGTGCAGGGAGGTCCGGCCGCAAAATGGGGCGGTGCCTCCCCCCTCCAGAGCGCCGGCGGGGAGGCCGGGGGCGCGTGGTGTGTGCTTGTGTGATTTGGGTGCGTGTTCGTCTCCGTAGGTGTGTATGTGAGATGTTGTGTGTTTGTGTGTGTGTGTGTGTGCGCGTTCGCGCGTGTGTTTCGACCTCTACGCGTGGATGTGTGCGTGTGTGTGCGTGTGTGTGTGCGTGTGTGCTGAGCATGCTGGCGTGCGTTTGTGTCCTCGTGTTGTATGTGTGTGGCCGTGCGTGCGTGCTGATGTGCGTGTGCTCGTTTGTGTGAGCGCCTCTTTGCTATCCGGGTTTTGGACGCTTCCAAGTTTGAAAAATATTTGAAAATTCATTTTAAGAAAGCAGATTTCTCGCATGTTAAGACGCGTTTGCCAGTAAACGTTTCAAGCCTGTAGCTGAAAAGAGCTCTACGAGGGTCCCGGCGGTAATCTGGTTGATGATCTACCTCCGGTTCCCATTGGACGCTACCAAGTGGACGCTACCAAGTTCCGGGAGAGCTCGCTGAGAGCTCAAGGGTGAATCCGGACGGTGGTGGTGCCGGCCAGGAGCTCTAGTTTTTAATTCTAAAAATTCGAATTGTAACTTTTGAACAGACACTTGGGAAGATATATGTATTAAGAATACCACACGCAGAATGAAGACGAAGTGCTTGCTAGGGGGTATCTTCTTGTATATATAAAAATAATGATAATAACTTATTAATAATAATAAGTATAATGAAATAAATGAAGAGACCTTTCTGCCCATCCTGTATTTTTTTGATTTTTTTTTCAGGGTTCTGCTGGATTCCGCACCCGCTAATGAAATCTGATTGGAGAGAGAATGAGGAGGCGAAGGAGACATATGAAGAGATGAAGACGGATAAGGAATGACGAGGCGGAGGAGGACGAGCGTGCTCTCTCGCGTCGGCGACCGCATCGAGTTATGCAGAGTCTCCAGCCCTGGTTCACTGTGTTCGAGGTCTCGCAGGGCACCCCACTGGGAGCAGAGTATGTGCTCGACTGGAGTTAGGTTGGAAGACCTTCTCAGTGGACACGCTACAGCAGCTAAATTCACCCAAGATATTTGAATTCTGCTTGATAAAAGATGCTATCTCAGGCACTCACTGGAAGGAGGAGGAGGAGAACAAAACGAAGGCTCAACAACAACGTGAAAACGATCGTGCTGCGAAAAGGATTGCTTTGCTGTATCAGGATGAGATTAACTGGAGGATCAACCCTGGATCTCTGGCCTTAGAAATGAGGGGGGATAGCCTGTGTGTAAGACGTTGGCCGACGGGCAAAAACAGATGCTTGAATGAAATTTGCAGCCAAACAATAGCTGCCATGCAACATACTCCGTATTCCGTGTGTAAGCAGTTCCAGATCTACAGTCCTGAGGCGGGCCGTGATTTTTGGAAATGGGTCTATCGGGAGGGGAACGCAGAGGCGGACCACGAGACATATGTGGCCAGAGAAGGGCAGACTACATCAGATGTGCGGTGGGATCTCGATACACTTTCTTCAATTCGTTCGGGTCAATATAGTGTACACGCGGTGAGAGGCTCTTTTGATGGTGGCAGATGTGAGTTAGGCACATCGTGCGGTTGTGTGATTGATACCTTTATCTCTGCTAATTTGCGTCCTGCTTCCCTCCCCCCTGGCCTTCCTCCCAAGCGTTGGCAGCTCGGAGTCGCCAAGCGTGCTTTTTTGCTCCCCTCCCACTGTGCTGTCACCCAGGCGGAGCTTGCTGCATCTGAGAGTTTATTGTCGGGAGTTGTGGATTCGTGCGCACACATTTGTAGATAGCACACGTCTTTTACAGCTTCGCTGCATAATCTTGCCGCTTTTATCTTTCAGCTTTGCTGCCTCTGTACAGCTTCGCTGTTAGTATTCTCTGTGTCCTGGCCTGCTCCCTTGGGAGCTCGAATCGGCCAACGCAGACACCGCAGACCAGGTTGACGGTTCACCGCCGGCGCCAGTGAGGCCGAGCTCAAACCCAAAAAATACCTCGTAGAGCTCTTCGGCAACGATGAGCTAGAGGAATTCGGGCGCAGGATGCAGCTAGTGTCTCGTAGAGCTTCCCTAAGAGGGTTAGCGGCGAAGCTGGAAGAGTAGCTCGTAGAGCTCTTCGGCATCGATGAGCTAGAGGAATTCCGGCGCGGGGTTCAGCTAGTTGGCCGACCCGGCCCGGGCGGGCAATGTGGTGACCTGGGGTCGGTTTTTCGGAGATTCTGAGAGATTTTGGAATTAGTTTTGAGAATCCAGATTTTTATTCTCTGCAGTCGATCATGACGCGCTCGATGGTGCCATTCTTAGGGCTCTAGCTGCATAATTTCCATCAAAAGACTAGGAGGAACCGACGTTCGTAAAACCCAAAAACAACATTTCTTCAGTTTTTAATTCATATTCACGAACGTTTTCGTCTGTTATCTGGGAACTGACTTGGTCTCTTCTGAGCTCTACGAGGGTCCCGGCGGTCTACGAGGGTTCCGGCTCAAGCTCCGCCTCAAGCTCTGCGTGCGTTCATTTTCTCCTGCCTTGGGAACCTCCGCGAAGGTGAACGTTGAGCTAGCGTGGTGTCTTGCTCTGCCTACGCAAGTGCCCATCTCCCTGTACATCTTGCCTCTCATTGTTGGCCTCTCATATTCATCCCTTGTTGCGGTGTGGTTGTGGCAAGTTGTAATGTGCCTTCGCCTCGCGTGGAGATCCGCCGTGTGTGCGTGTGACTAATTTCTGAATTTGATTCCTGTTTCTCGTTGCACGAATCATGCCACATGTTCGCAGTTGTCACAGGCGAGTTGCACGAAGATCTCGGGTCGTTTATTTGGTCTTCTGCAAGCCGCCATCTATTCCCGTTTGCTTGGACTCGTTGTTGCCAGAAACCGATCCTTATAAGATTCTTCTGACAGAATTGGCTGCTCCGCCTGGATGGGAGGGAGACTGCAGAGGGGGGATCCAGGAAGTGGGAGTGCAGACTTTGTCTTCTTCTTGCCGGACTGTGTGTGTCGATGTGCAAACGGAGACCCCCCCGACTCTTTGTCATGCCCATTCCTATGAGAGTGCAGTTGGGAGTTCAACAGTAGTTGGGAGTTCAACATTTGGAAGTTCAGCAGTTGGTTTGACTTTGTGTGCCAGACCCATTCTTATGACAGTGCAGTTGGGATTTCAACAGTTGGGAGTTCCGCTGCCGGTAGCGTGCAGGACGCCTGTGTACAAACTCAGCTCCCTTTAGTGCGCAAGAAGAGGAGGAGAAGGAGGAGTGTCATCAACTGTGTGCAGGACGCCTGTGTACAAACTGAGGAGGAGAAGGAGGAGTGTCACCAAGTGCGCGTTGATCGGGGTGATGCTTCTCTCAGAATGAAGAGTTTTTTTTTTTTTTTTTTTTTTTTTTTTTTTTTTTTTTTTTTTTTTTTTTTTTTTTTTTTTTTTTTTTTTTTTTTTTTTTTTTTTTTTTTTTAAAAAAAAAAAATAAAAAATATATATAATATATATATATAAAAACGAGTGGAGGCTATCGATTTTGGTGTTGCTGTACCTCAGGTGCTTGTCAGCGGTTCCGCATCGCGCCCTTCCGTATCGAGTCAGAGAGCTTCGCGCCCTGATCCTGACAGTGCTCCCACTTATGATATTGAGTTCCCTGCTCCGCGGGAATTGGTGACGTGCAGCGCAGATGATGTGCGCGATACTTGGGTGCCTATCTGTTTCATTGTTGGTGCTTGGAGGGGGCTGCGAGTGGCGAGAATCTCCAGGACGTCCTCCACCCAGAGAGCGGGTTTGCGGGTTATGCTGGTCTGAGTGAGTCTCTTGGGACGCCGTTGGAGGGTTTTCTCCATATGGGTGCTGAGAATAAGTTCAAGTGTATCCACAGGGCCAGCAAGTCCGAGGTGGGTTCCATTCTTGCGGCGCCCCCAGAGGCCCAACGGCACCCACTGTATGTTGACTTGGGATGTGCGAAGTTCTTCGACCCTTTCACAGTGGTCGTGCGCACGTATGTCGCTATGGGGTACGTCATTTGCGGTGCGAAGTTACTACATATGCGACTCGCCGACGTCCTTCCCCTGCTCGGCATGCTGCACAGTGCTGTCTCAGTCGAGGAGGCGGTGCGGAATCCGCAAATGTCCAGTGCGAGATTTGAAGAACTGGAGTGGTCGTACGTGGACCTGTGCCATATGTCTGCACCATCGGAGCTCATGGATTTTGACTCGCATCCGTACGGCTGGACTTAGGACGAGATGTGTGCCTTTTATCCTGCGCCACATGAGTTCCGATCGTTGAAACGTTGCCAGACCTTCAAAGGAGGTTCACTGTGTAGGTGTGCCGCCTGAACGCTTTGTGCGTTGCTCGTTCGCTGCGTTCGCTGCTTCGGGACTCGTTCTCCTCCAGCTGTTGTACAGCTGGTGCACAGGAGCGCAAACAAACAATCCAACCTGGTTGACGGTTTACCGCCTTGCTCCCAGTAGTTCCGGCGCGCTGGGGGGTTAGTTAGCAAAACAAATTTCGACGGAAGTTTTGGGAATTTTGGACTTGTTTAAATCAGATGTCTCGAAATCCAACAGGTCGTTAGAGCCCTAGTATTTTTCCCGTGATCTTTGATCTTTTTTTCCCGCTCGTCATCTTAATCTCAGCTCGATCGGGTGCGGGATCGGCTGTTTCGAGTCATCTTGACAGGTGCTGTCGGTTTTCTGAACTTAACTCGAGCTGTAGGACCGCTACAGAGCTGGTGTGCACACCTAATCGATCCTGCATGATCTGGCGCGTTTGTCTCTAGTATCTTGAGGTCCGAAATCGGTCTGCTACTCGAGCTAGGTCCGCGAAACTATTCGTACTCTATTTTTTTGCATGATGATGCGTTTCTTGATTTTGCTCGAGCTGCAGATGAGCTACAGGGCTCTCTGGCACATCAATCGGAAGGGAATCATCAGGCGCGACAGTCTGCAGTATCTACACGCCTGATCTCGGTCTGCTATCAGCGCTGGGGCTGAAAGACTTTTCGTGCGCTGCTATTTTTTTTGATGGTGTGTGGTTTTCTTGACTTAACTCTAGCTGCAGATGAGCTACCGAGCTGCTAAGCACAGAAGCCGGAAGGGAATCATCAGGCGCGCTAGTTCAAAGTATCTAGACGCCTGATCTCTGTCTGCTGTCAGCGCTGGGACTGAAACACTACTTGTACTCTGCATTTTTTTGGAGATGGTGATGGTTTTCTTGGCCTAACTCGTTTGCAGATGTGCTGCAAAGATGTTCGGCGCAGCAATGGAAAGAAATCAGGCGCGATTGTCTGCAGTATCTAGACGCCCGATCTCGGTCTGCTATCAGCGCTGGGGCTGAACAACTATTCGTACTCTTGCTATTTTTTCGAGATGGTGATGCTTTCCTTGACTAACTCGAGCTGCAAATGAGCTACAGAGCTGTTCGGCACAGCAATGGAAAGGAAATAATCAGGCGCGCTAGTTCAAAGTATCTAGAGGCCTGAAATCAGTCTACTATCAGCGCTGGGGCCGAATAATTATTCGTACTCTGTAATTTTTTTAGAGAGTGATGAAGTGTCCAGACGCCTGAACTCGGTCTGGTGTGTCTATTATTTCTTTCCAGAGGTATTTTTCCCTCGCTCCTCCTTCTCCTCCGCGTCCTCCTTCATGAGACCGCGCCCTCGCACTCGCAATGCGAGATTGCCGCGCTCGCGTTGCACGAGGAAGCTCTACGAGTTCCCGGCGGTAACCAAGGTTGACGGTTTACCGCCGGCTCCCAGTTGGCCAACCCGGCCGGGGCGGACAATGTGGTGACCTGGGGTCGGTTTTTCGAAGATTCTGAGAGATTCTGAAATTCGTTTTGGAAATCCGAATTTTGATTCTCTGCAGTCGATCATGGCGCGCTCGATGGTGCAATCCTCAGGGCTCTAGCAGCGTTATTTCGATCAAAAGACTAGGACGAACCGACGTTATATAAACCCGAAACAAATATTTCTTCCGTTTTCAAGCTTATATTGACGAACGTTTCTCTCCTGTTATCTGGGAATTGGTTCGGTCCCTGCAGCGCTCTACGAGGGTCCCGGCGGTAACCTGGTTGACGGTTTACCGCCAGCTCCCAGTTGCCGGCTAAAACGACCCGACATCATGCCATGATCCCCCATGATCTCCCATGATCTTCCATGATCTCTCATGATCTCTCATGAGCACTGTGTGAGCTCGTGTGTACGCTCCAGCAAGGCAAAATTTGGGATCTCTGCTACATGAGTGTAGCTCAAGCGTGTTGCTTGTGCGCTCCGACGGGGATCCCACGCGTCGAAGGGGAGTAATTCTCCGCCGGGTGCGCTTCTGAGGGGCTGAGTTGCATCACCTTACGCTCTTGCGCTTTAGTGCTGCTCCTCGCTGCTCATGCTGGTGCTGCTTCAGAGCCCGATCCCACTCCCGATCGCTCTCCTCGGGCCCTTAAGGCACCCTGTAGAACCACCTCGCGACGACGACCGACGACGACGACAACGACGACTACGACGACGACGACGACGACGACGACTACGACGGCAACGACGACGACGGAGCGACGACGACGACGCACGCGACTACGACGACGACGACGACGACGAGGTCCCCACCCTCCTCACTATATCATGTCGTTGGGGGTTCTCCGAGGCCCAGTCAGCAAATGGTAACCCTACAAGGATCTCCTTGGGGGCTCACTCGAGGGGTTATATTACAGGCTATATAGGTTAGTGGCTCCCCATTTCCTCGAGGGCTCCTGAGGCGGCCCCCCGCCCGTATGCATTGCGGCGCAGTTAATTAAGGATGCCAGTGACGCGTAGACGCACCGTACCCCCTGAGTTGTCAGCAGTTGATGGATACCGACGTTCGGAATCCGATGTGCAGAGTGCCGAGGAGGCAGCTGAGCTAGCTGCGCGAAAAGAGGAGGCAGGGAATTGTTTGATCGAGCACCTTCTGGGACTGTATGCTTCAGGGTACATGACAGCAAAAATCCTTTGCATATTTTGCAGTTGGGCAAAGGAGGCAGGTGCGGCAGATGATTGGTCGCAAGTCGCTCTCAAGCCAAGTACCCCGACAGGCCATTTCCAACGTAAGATAGACAAGTTTTTCGATGAGCAAAACAATGTGAAGCCTTTGACGTTGTCAGTCCCTGTAATGAGATTTCAAGGCCACAGAGAGTGTAGAGACACCCCGTTCAAGGCACCTCACGAAGTATTGGCTGCTGAGGCCGACCCCGAGGGCTTACAGCAACTACAGGATGCCCCGCTTGAGCTCGACTGGGCATCCGAATACAAGAAGAACCAAGTTGTCATCGACGCCAAGGGGACTCATGACGTAATCACTCCATCCGTTCTCTACGTAGACGGAATACGGTACACCAAAGCTATTTCAGTGGGCCGCTCAGACACATGCGTTGCATTCTTTGCATACTCTGCAGTATTCCAGCGTAGGCACCTGCTCGGACTTCTTCGGAAGTCCGAGCTGTGCAAATGTGGGTGCAGGGGGTGGTGCACGATGTATCCAATAATGCAATGTTTAGCGTGGTCGTATCGTGCAGGAGGTCAGGGTCGGCGTCCAGATAAGTTCTACGATGGTCTCGCGTTTCCTGAGGGATCACCATGGGAAAAGCTCGAGGCCGATAGCCCTCAACTGTCCCCTCGGCTGGCACTGGTGCAAGTTAAGGGGGACTGGAGCGAGGTTTGCTCGTCGTTCGCTTTTCCCAGCTGGGCTTCAAAGTATTCTCCATGCATGTTTTGCTGCGCCCGCAAAGAAAACTCACACGATTACAGTGGCGTAAGTTTGCTTGGGCACGAATGGGGCGTCAAACAAGGGGACGTATACGATAGGACGTGCAGCGATTGTGAACACAAAGTCGAAATACATACACCAGAAGAGATGTCTATTATACTTGATGCCCTATTTCAGGATAAGGTCTAATCGAATCGGTGGTAGAGCGTTGGAGAAAGATTTGCCAATGTTTAAGTTGTGCAAGGACGACCGCTTGGAACCTTCGGAGTGTCTCTTGGATGTACGCGCACTCAAACCGTGTGATCTCCCGATCACGCTCACGTTTTGGAGACGGCACGCGATCGGGGTTGCTTGCGCGGATGCCACGCACCATCGCAACCCATTGGTCGACAGGGACATCGTGGGGGACATGCAGGGGGTTTTGCGCGTGGACTTGCTTCACGCGGTCTGTTTGGGCGTGATGGCACACCTGGTCCATAACATACTTTGGCGGATTCTAGAACTAAGCCCTTGGATCATCGTCGGGGCACAAGAAGTTGTCAGGGAGCAGGGGTGCAGACATCTAAAAAACCATTTGTTTTCGTGGTATGTGTCGGAGGGCATCGACGTAACATGCAGGCTAGGCACGCTAACATTGAAGATGCTGGGTTCCACGGCAGATGGTAACCTGACCACCAAAGCAGCCGGGACTGCACCGTTAGTTAAATGGTATGTTGCGCTGTGTCGCGAGTTTCCCCTCATGCGCGATGCTGGCAACCTGAGATCGGCATGCTAGCCCCTGTTGCCGTATATGGCTTTGATCAGCGAGGCTGGGCCACATATCCGCAGAGGGATTAATAAACGCTTGGAGCTCGCGTGTATAGACCAAATCCCCAAACGCCACCTCTGGGGGCACCTCGTCCTCGATTCATTTCAAAAAGGGATCCCGAGGATGTACAGCTGCCTGTTAGATGAGTCTTTGAACGCCGTGGTTTCACGCATCGCCCAGGCGTGCCATCGGGCGAGATGGGAGTACCAGGTGATCTCTCGCTTGCAAGTGTTGCGGTTGCTAGACAAAATCGTATTGGGCCAACGTGTAAGATGATTTCGAAAAAAGTTTGCTGTCTCAGTTCCGTCCGGTGTAATGACACGATCGTCTGCAAATGGATCGCGCCGTGAGCGTTGTCACCGTAGCCGTTTTGGCTCAAGCATGTGGCCTCCTCCTTGCACATGTGTTATATACATATATGCCGACTCCTGACGTATCAGTTGCTAGGGGGCAAGTCCCGCCCCCATGGGTTCCAGAGTTCACGAAACAACTCGACTCGCAATACTTGCCCGCCAAGTTCAATTCAGTTGGTGGCATGCTGTATGATGTGTATATCGTTCTGTTGCGTATCTCAGAATCTATAATACGGGACCTGCAGGTGCTGGAGATTTGTCCGTATGGATCTGCTGAGTTCTCCCATGCTGCTCGGTTCAAAGATTTGCAGTGTGTGGAGTATAGTATGGTTAACCTTTGCTATCCTGTCGGCTTGTTCTGGACTGGTATTATGACCCGGGGGCTGCGGACCGATGGCATGTTGATAATGTCGCCGCAGCGCGCCACATGGAAACCATCGGCTGAATATATATATATATATATATATATATATATATATATATATGTATATGTATATATATATATATATATATATATATATATTTCAATCGAGCAAGGCAGAGAC